CTCTCATACTTCAACGCCCCATATCCCATTAGGTTTGTGACAGACCATCATTCCGTTCCCCCTATTCCAGCTGTAGCAATGTCAGTGTTCAGGAGTCTCCCCTCCGCTCCCTCCTCTTTTCTCTCTTGCCCTCTGTTTGATGACTTCTCATATGCGAACGTTAAAACAAGGAAAAATCAGGATATTGATCAAATGTTCAAGAAATTTACCATGAAGAGTTCGTCTTTAATGTCCAAGCAATTACTTCGAACAATTGTTTTGAAAATGCTATTGAACAACAATTTTCCTTACTAGTCACTTTATTAAATTCTCACACTAAAGAGATTTTCCCCTGTGACATTAGTGAATGCACATGTTTCTGACTATACATCACGAAGAATCCATTAGTTAAATGCGAGTGCATTCATTCAAGCAGCAGATTCGTTGTTGCTCTTTTACAGGAGGAATTATTCTCAAGCCTTTTGCTCATATTCAACATTCTTGCATCATGAGAGAGTGCAATTCGCTTTGTTGTTAAATGTGTTTCACTTTTTGCCGATTTAGAAACGTTTATAGCGATGTTGTTCTTTTGCATACTCGTATGAGTCAAATAATTTAGTTTAGATGTTCCGGCATTGCATTGGTAATTGCATCTTTCCGTATTGCAATCTTCCGTAGGCTGCGCATTCATGCCGATCGACATTATCTCGATTGCGTTTTGGAACTTTTAGTGGACCAAAGCGAAAAGCCATATGTTTCCCTAAGATGTTACACATCCAATAAAATTGTTCTCAAATAACTAGATTATACGTATTACTCCAAACAGTATTCATTGTGATTCTAGCAGATCTAGGTCGATCCAGGGAAAACTTTAAGGATTTTGCGTATCATTCGTCTTGCAGTTTTTAGATAGCCTCTAAGTAGCATTCATGCGTAACCTGCCTCATTCAATTATATTAGCATTTGAATTACTGCTATACATCAACATGTTAGCAATAGCTCCATGCAGTTGTCTAAAAACAATCTTAAAACATTGTTTACCTCTTATCCACCTATGTGCTTCCAAGAGTAGCATCAAGCATGTAGCATTTTGTCGCAGGATTTTGTTCTGCATCTGATGCTACAGAGACATACTCCGAAAGAATGATTCTAAATCCTTTTCGGCTGATTATCCAACGTGATGAAGGTCACGGCAAATCGACTCCCTTTCCTCCCATTCATAGAATTACCCAACAATTGCTTTCAAAACAACGATAAAAACATTGTGATGTTCGAAGAAGTTCAATTTCCTTCAGCGAAACCGCTCCCTTTGCATGCAATTTTTGCTCATTGCTGAGCGATTTTGCCCATGATAAAGAAAACTGCTTTGAAACATATAAGATATTGCAAATTTCCACTTGTTTCCCATCTTATATGTAATGGCGTTCATTTTTTAAGCCTGGTATCCACTCTGAAGGCCTGATCGCCCACCATGAGTGAATCAACAGGAATGTTTATAGGATCGATAAGAGAATAATGTTTTCTTCCTCTTCACGAAAACGCTCGAAAACGCTCAGTGATTGGATTGATCAATGAAAATCTCTAATTCAGTAACCAAGACGTGTCCTTATTCAGCTCACCGTCGCTGTATATACTGACGTATTGAACTCTGCAGAATTTAAAAGCAAACAGTTGGTTATTCTGAAGCAATAACCCTATATTGATGTGATGCGCCGGCATTCAGATGAAAGTACAATTTCATTAGAGCTATCAGATGTTATCGACTGGTAAATTAATTCCGAATGGTTCTGTTAATTCCACATTTCAGTGAGAATTTTCAATTAACTCCATTTGAAAAGCCATCTGATGAATTCTTTTTTTCCTTTTTCAAAGCTTATTTTCTATTATTTCTCAATTACGCTAGATTTCATGAATCTAGATCTATTTCAAGCGATTTGATCTTTATGAACAAACAGTTCTTTTAAATTCAGTTATCCGTTCTAGGAGTGAATCTGAGTTGGATAAAGACGAAAGCGGTTCATCGACCAGTGATAGCTCATCGGAAAATTCTATTGGAATCCAAGAGAATGGCTCCAGTGCTATCATACCCTCATATATGACTACGCAAGTACTAGAAAGTATTCGAGAATCATCGCTTACCCACAATACGAATGTATGCTCGATTGAAGCATGCGAAATCAATGATCAAGCTTGTATTTATGGTAACTTTCATTGTCGCTCACGTTTCATTGCTTGAATTAAACCGACCATCTATTGCTTATAAGTACTCACCACAGCACTCAAAGCAATCAGTCTGAGTGAATGGTGTATATATTATAGGAG